CATTAGTGTTTCAATTTTCCCACATCTCCAACATTTATCATTTTCCTGTTATGTCATGTTGGCCAATCTAATAGGTGTGATGTGGTACCTCAGTGTTGTTTTGATTTGCATTTCTCTAATCAACAGTAATTTAGAGCATTTTTTCATATGACTATAGATGGCCTTAATTTCTTCATCTGAGAACTTTCTGTTCATATCCTTTGACCATTTATCAATTGGGGAATGACTTGTATTCTTATAAATTTGACTTAATTTTCTATATATTTAAGAAAGGAGGCCCTTATTTATGAGGCCTTCATTAAAGGGGCCATTGCTTGACTCACTTCTTAAAGAGGTCTAGTCAGAGAATGGGTGTAATCTCACTCTATGTGAGACCCTGAAAAGACCTTAGCTTAAAAGGACTAAGGTCTGCCACTGCATCCTGGACCATCTCCAGTCATTCTGATTGCTGTCTGGCCACTGGACCCAGATGGCTCTGGAGGAGAAAGTGAGACTGGTAACTTTGCATAGCCCTCCCTTACTCAAATCAAAGTCAATTGCAAGTCATGTCATCATTTCCCTGATGTCATGGTCTTCTTTGAGAATGAAGCACAAACCACACACAATCTCTTCATTATTAAGTCAAAATTGAATTTTTAGAGAAAGTTATAAATGAAAATTAATAAGGCAGTTATTCTCAAAGTTAAATTCAGAAGTGTTAATATGTATGTATATATATGTGTATGTGTGTGTGTGTGTGTGTGTGTGTGCATATAATTCAAATGCTGCCTAGTACATAGGTTATTATTAAAATGGAAAAAAAAATGAGCTAAAAACCATCTTGTTCCAGGCTCTGAAAACTTCTGTAAAGCACTCTGGTCCTTTTATTTATCTGAAACCAAGTATGTGGATTTGTGAGTTAATTTTTTATAAAAGTATCCATTATGGAATTGGTGACTTCCTGATCAATAGGGAATGATATGAAAATATTGAGAAATTTGTGTTCAGGAGGCAATCAGACATCAGGAAATGTTTTGAATTCTTAGGACTGGGTATTTATCTTTGCAGTAAAATGACATCACTATGAGTTAGTTATTCCAGTTTCTAAGACTAAGTAAACTGCCTATCCTTTTCTAGTCCCCTGTCCATCATTTGCTTATATAGTCATTTTTCTTGACAAATCTCAATCATTTCAAACGTGTGTGGGAGTGTTTGCATAACATATTTATTCTTGGAATAAAGTCTGAAAGAATTGAGGAGAAGACTGCAAATCTTTATATATTAGGGACCCATCTTCTCCTGAAGGAAATCTGTTAGTCACTAAAAGCAAATCTTTTATATTCATCAAACTGAGATGACCTTGACAGCTGTGGATATGGATGGATGTCAGATTAAATTGACTGCCACATGAAGATTCCCAACATCTCACTTATTCTGAGTCTGTAATTAACAAAACTCAAGCAAAGGAAATATAAAAATGTGTGAACTTTATTTCATCTCTCCTCACCTCTCTTGCTACAGTGTAATCAGCTCTCATCAAATAAGTGTGATAATTCTAATAATCAATTGGAAAATTGGTTTCAGTGAAACAAATGCTACTACACTCACAAATGAACTTCTAACACTGTGTCCATGTGATATCTATGTGTATATATCAACATATGAATATTTTAAAACATGGGTAGCTATCATTTTCTACTTAATTATTTACGTGTTATCCTAGACCCCATTAGACTATGAGTTCCTTGAGGGCAAGGATTGTTTTTGCCCTCATAGGATCATAGAATAGATTTACAGCTGGGAGAGATCTTAGAAGCTACTGAGTCCAATTTTCTCATTTTACAGATGGGGAAACTGAGGCCCAGAAAGTTTATGTGACTTATTCAGGGTCACTTAGCTAGTAAGGGTAAGTGCTTAATGCTTTTTGATTGACTAATGTCAAAATAACTGACACAAATGGAAAAATTCCATCAAATATGCAATTATATAAATTAGATAGTAGGCCAAATTCAATGAGGTGGATATTTTAATTTGTTTTTCTTTTTACAGTGTTTAATAAAACTCACTTGAGAAATGAGTGGTCAGCATTGATTGCAGGAACACTATTAATTTATGAAGTTCATCTGCCTTCAATCGTATAGTATATTCTTAAAATAGTAAAAATCTAATTCATGATAATTAAACTCTTGGTGCATAAGATTGCTCATTTAAAAAGAATGAGATGAACTAAAGTAACCAGTAACAAATTATTAAAAAAAAACAAAACAAAAACATCCAGACCTCATGTAGTTGGTAATGTTACAGATGTAAGGTACTTTTAAGACTAGTTTCATGGAAAATACATGCTTCTTATTCCAGACCTTATTCTCTTGCTTAGGCAGAGCATTGGTCAACCTAAAAAAATGCATAAATGAAATTTAATCATTCTTCAACCCCTTTCTTTTCCTCTTCCTGCCCCGGGCACTATTCTTTCCCTAAAATATGAAGGAAATTCTGGAATTCAATCAATTTCAATGTTCTCTGGTTGACAATACCATTAGCCTATGAATCACAGTGATCCTAGAACAGTCTATAACATGGCACAGGAAAAATTTAGAAAGTAATGATGGTGCATCTTTCCTTGATCCCTGCATTCCTGGACAGTCTTTGCTAGCTGAGTACATTTAACAGCAATGAAGAGGCTGTCCTAGAAGCCATGGCTATGGATTCAATTACCCAGGTCTTCCCAGAGAGCTATCATTGACCTTGCCTTTGAAGCTCTAGTGGATAGTAAATCTGGAAAGTTAAGGAACATGCATTCCAATAAGAGGGATAGGGAATGGACCTACAATTTCATTGATGTGGGCAAGCTCCCAATGAAGAAATTCCCTCTGCTAATGTAGATTGACACTTACTCTTCAATTTACTTAGAGGACCCAGAAGTAAAGTGACTTGTTCAGGTTCTCATGGCTGGGATACATATTTACATTCACTAGGCCATGTCTCCATATAAAGGATAGTGCCAATAAAAAAAAAAAAACTATTGAAAATGTAAATTGTTATTTTTAGGAGAGTAAATGCCAAGATATATCATGTTATAGTGTAGTGAGGGCTGACCTTGAAATCAGAAACACTGAAATGAAGTATAACCTTTGATGTATTCTGCCTATATGACCATGTGCAAGTTACTATTCTTTCAGTGGCTTAACAGATCTCTAAGATTATATGTTGCCAATCTTCATCAATGGAAGGAATTTCCACACTGGGAATTGTACCCAGAGAGGAAATCACAGATTCAGACTGACCCTCTCCCCCAACAGAGAGAAAGAGAAAGACAAAGTGACAGAGACAGAGATACAGAGAGAGACAGAGACATAGAGAGACAGAGATAGAGGCAGACAGAAATGAAAAGAAAATTAAAAAAAGAAAAGAAGAATATAAAGGATAGTGTTCCACTTGAAGGTAATATTTGTTAGAAATTTTAAAAACTTCTTATGATACATATATTATATATATATATATATATATATATACATTTTTTAAAAAATGAGACCTACAATTTCTAACTAAATGCACAATTTTAACTAGACCTACAATTGATATAGGAAAGTCTTAGTGGAAAAACTCCTTCTACTAATATAGATCAAGATCTATTCTACAAATTACATGTTAAGTGATATTCCTGGGATCATGTAGAAAGTATATGTTAGAGATAGAAGTGGAATGAGGTTTTTCTGATTCTGAAGCTAGCTCTCTAGGCTCTACATTACTATGCTGCCTCATATGCGTGTATTATATATGTTTATGTATCCTGAAGACATATAGAGAGAAATCTGTATATGATGCACACACACACATCTCTCTATATATATATACATAGAGAAGGGGAGAGACAGAGAGAGAGAGAGAGAGAGAGAGAGAGTGTTCTCCTTTTTCCTCATACATAAACATATATATGGGTCAACAAAACAGAGCCAGATGCAAATCTACTTTTGTGTGTATTTGTAAGTACATTTTCACAGAAAAGTCCATAAATGTATCTAGGTTTTCCTTAAATGAATTGAACCAATCATTTATATAAAACAACTGGCATTTCTTTTACTTCCTTAAGGAGCTATATATTTATCTTTCTGCTAGCATCATAAGTAAGAAAAATTATGAATAATGATCATAATATATAACAGAAAATACTGAGATGTGCCTAGCAAGGTAAAGTAAATTTCTATGTATTTATTTACTAAGGAAAGGACAATTATACATTTTACCAAATGATAGCATGATCACCAAAGTGCAAAAGAGAGAAACAAAACCTAATTTTATCAAGAAAGAAAATGGACAAAAACCTGTAACTATCTTTGATGGAAAGTTATTATTAACTGATTAAGGATTCCTAAATTATGGCTTCCATATATATATCTGCCTACAGTGGAGGATGGAAGGCTCTGGTGTGCTATTGTCCATGGGGTCTTGAAGAGTCAGACCTGACTAAACTACTGAACAATAACAAGTTAATACCTAAGCTCTGTTTCTTTCTACTGTCACAAGAAGTTTATACACACACACACACACACACACAAATATGTATACATTTATGTATGTATAGATAACACTTTTTCCTCTTAATAAGGAACATTATTGAAGAAGAATTTCAAATCACAGAAGCAGATTGATAAAGCATTCACATACATTATAGTGACAAGGTATGGAAGAAATTTTTGTGGCAAAGAAGGAATAGCAGAATTCTATTGTGCCTTTAATTAAAGTCAATCTGATACATTTGCTCAGCATGTATAATTCTGTATCATCAGTACATTTTGTTTAATTTTGATGGAGTATGTCCTAATTAGATAACACATAAGTTTTCATACCCTGTGGATTGACATGCCTCCCATGTTAAGTTGTTTCTACATGTATACCTGGCTGGATCATTTTGACTAATGAATTAATAAGCTTGTTCAAACTGCTTAAACAGATTCACATGAGGGACAAGCACTTTCCTCTCTAACTCTGCATCTTATACAACAAGCAAACTGTTTTCTTACCTTATCTTTTCTTTGTTTTTCATCTTGATATACAGTCCAATGTTCTCCATCATTGCTATATGCCAATTTATAGGAACCTACAAATTGTACATGACCAAAATCTTTAGCTCCTTGAGTAATGATGCCAGTCACCTTGGTAGGGACTAGAAGGTCCACCTGGAAAAAGAGAAATATAATATAATCTTATGAAACATAATGTAGTAATGCAATCTTCTTATTGTGTCCTTAGAGACACATATCCACCCACAGAAGAAATCGTTATTACCAGAATATTCTAGTGGAAGTCAAATCTACTGTAGATAAATATTTTTTAATTGACTTTAAACCATAAATATTGTCTTGGTTAATCAAGGCTAACTCTATCCTAAAATCCAGTTTGATCATCCCCACTAAGTTGCTCAGCAGGGTGATTTCTATGCCATTAAAATGTTGGATCACCAAAATTTATCTTCTATAAATCAAGCAATCTATAAGCTTTTGTTAAGCATCTGCTATGTGCCCAAGACTATGTTAGATTCTGGGATCACAAAGACAAATATGAAACAACCATTTTCCTCGAGGATCTTATAAGATATTAGGAGGAAGTATATATGTGAGTTTATAAAAATAGAAATGATAACTTTCTGGGTGAGACATTAGCAGCTCGGGGGATCAAGAATGTTTTCGTTAACAAGGTGTATACTTAGCTAAGCTTTGAAGGAAGCTTGGGAATCTAATAGATTGAAGTGAGGCACAAGTGCATTCCTTGGAATGCAGTGTGTGAAGGACAATTGGAAAGGCAATGTGGCTGCCCTGCATGAAATAGAATTTTGTATAATATGGCTGAAAAGGTAGTTTGGGGCCAGGTTATAAAAGATTTTAACAGTTAGCATTTATATAATGTTTTAAATCTTACAAAGAAAACTATTAATTTTATTTCATTTTATCTTTACAACAATTTCAGAAGGGAAGTGCTATTATTATTTCCATTTTACAGACGAGGAAACCAAGGCAGATGGAAGTTAAGTGACTTGCCAAGGGTCACACAGATAAAAGTTGTCTGAGGTCAGAGCTGTACTCAGATCTTCCTGACTCCATGTCCATTGTTCTAATCACTGTGCCACCTGGCTGTCAAACAGGAGTTTTTATTTCATCCTGGAGGTAATATGTAGCCTCTGGAGTCTACTGAATAGGGGAATGACATAATATTTTAGGAAAAATTACTTTGGCAACTGTGTGGAGGATAAAATGGATCAGGGAGAGACTTAAGACAGGAAGATTAAGTTTTCTTGTTTTCATCTCCAGGTACCTTTCACATGCAAAACACTTTAACAGACCTTAATTGTCAATTCAATCCAAAGAGTTGAATCAATTACAAGTAAATACAGATTAGGCTGCATTTAATTTGGCTGGGACTTCAGGAACAAACCTTTGGTGTTAAAAGCATCTTTCCCCATCAATTTAATCATGCATAATTGAATAATAAATGCATTAGCTAATGAAAATCCCATTTCAATAAGCCAATATTCTGAATGAGATAGACTATAAATTTAAGGTCAAACATCAAAAGAGAAAAAAGGTCTAAAAATACACAGCCATAGTGTCTGGCATTTGTGTCTGCAAGCCATGTTGTAGCACTATTTACATATATACAGACCTACAAACATAAATGCATATATACTCATGTCTACAAATGGAAAGAACTGTCGAACTTATTATTAGATAATATCATTATTATTTTATGCTAATACATGGTTTCTGTCAAATGAGATATACATTACCTAAAAGGTCAATTTATTTTCCCTTGCCTTATATTCTAATTTGTAGTTGTTTATCTTTCTCCATTTTTTTAAAATTCTATTTTTTCCTCTTTTTTTCTGGGAGACTTTCATTCGCCATGTGAGGATTACTTGAAACTATCTTTAGTTTTCCTCTCTTTTCCTTGATCTACAGATTCTTCTCCTATCCACAATAACAGCTTACTTCCTCTACTCATATCCTCCATCTTATCTTCACTATCACTGCTCCACATGTCATCATTGAGTGTCTCCAACCACCACAATTGTTTACATTTCCTATTCTCTGTCCTGTGAGAAGCAGGATGCTGGAAAACCAACTAAGGTTAGATAGGGGTCATGCATAGAGGACAAAACAAAGCCAATAATGGAAACATTATTACTTTAATCCACAGATTTTTAAAATCTTCATATAACAGAAATGTAGAGAAGGTGTGTGATGTGGGTTGCCTAATATGCTAACCATTGAAGTAACAATATTGATAACTTTATATTTATTTACTTCAGTTTTAAGGTTTTAGTTTCAAACTTGCTTGATTAAACTTTCCTTTTTATAGTTGAGCACACACTGATATGGCAACGTCAGTATAGAGGAATCATGAGAATTTAAACTATATATATATATGTACACACACACACACACACACACACACACACACATATATGTATATTATGCAAGTTTCCTTTCCTCCATTCAGCAACGTCTTCCCTTTCTCTGATCACTGGAAAACTGTAGAACCAATTTAACACTGTCAAGAGACAACAAATTTAAACCTCATATTTGCTAACTAGAAAGAAGCCATTTTTCCATTATAAATTTTCTCCCTTGGTTCTCAAGATGTCTTCTTTCTTATATATGTAATGAAGGACTGGCAAATATACAAAGCTAACCTGATGATACTCTCCACATAAAAGAGGCTCAGGAATCTGCTTTGGGGAATCCTAAAATGACTTGTAATTGAAATACCTTGGTAGAGACTTTGGAGAATGGGTAGATATTCTGAAACTAGTTCCAGGCTTCTAACTATATAGGAGATAGCAGCCTCTTTTATTGGCTAAAGCTGGAGAACTGAGAGTGAGGATGGTGTCAAAAGAATTTTGTTGGTCTCAGTAACATTCTGGGAAACTCTGCTCTTGGTTTGACTCCTTTAATAATGGAATCTGATGAGAAACAATAGTGTAAGGACAAAGATTGTCGATTTTCTCCCTCCATGGTCAATATGTGACCTGTGAATGCAGTTTTTCAGTTCTTTTTTTTTTGTAAATAGTATTTTATTTTTTCCATTTACATGTAAAAATGGTTTTCAACATATATTTTTTACAAGATTTTGAGTTACAAATTTTTTCTTCCCTCCCACTCCCCCCTCCCCAAAATGGCAAGCAATCTGACACAGGTTATACATGTACAATCATGTAAACATATTTCACATTAATCATGTTGTGAAAGAAGAATAAGAACAAAAGGAAAAAGCCCTAACCCCCCCCAAAAGTAAAAAAAAAAACAAAGTGAAAATAATGTGCTTCAATCTGGATTCAGACTCCATAGTTCTTTCTCTGGATGTGGATAGCATTTTCCATCATGAATCTTTTGAAATTGTTTTGAATCATTGTATTGCTGAGAAGAGCTAAGTCAGTCATAGTGATCATCACACGCTGTTGCTGTTACTGTGTACAATGTTCTCCTGGTTCTGCTCACTTCACTCAACATCAGTTCATGTAAGTCTTTCCAGATTTTTCTGAAATCTACCTGCTCATCATTTCTTATAACACAATAGTATTCCATCACCATCTTATACCACAACTTGTTCAGCCATTCACCAATTGATGGGCATCCCTTCAATTTCCAATTCTTTGCCACCAAAAAAAGAGCTACTATAAATATTTTTGTATATGTGGGTTCTTTCTCCCTTTTTTAGATCTCTCTGAGATCACTTGTCAGTTCTTTGCTGTCCAGTGTTTGTCCTTTTATTTTAGGTGAAGGAGATTAATTTGGAGGCTACAGTCTTGTGAGATTTGAAAGGTTAGGAGAATAAGATAGATGGATACCCAGGTGTCTTTGTATTGAGTCTAAGCTGGGTTCCACAGGCAGCCCAGTATCAATGCCTCAAGGAGCAACCTTTGGGCTCTTCCCCCTGGTAGTTGAGATGAGAATTCATAAGGCAATGATGCCACATTTGGATATGAACTTGAAGAGACAAATGCTATGTAGAAACTGGATTAAATTTGGACCTGTTCTCCCCAGATATCAGTGTGAGATGAGGAGATTGTGCCCCCAACTTATTGAGAAGGAATGTTTGAACTTCTGTTCTTGCTATATCTTTGAAATAAGCATCCCTCTTTTCTTAAAAAAATATAAGTGATGTTAATTGGTTAAATGGCTAATTAGTCATTGGCAGTTAACTGTGGTGAAAACACACCTAGAATGGGAGCTTGATCCAATGGCAATAGAGATGGACACTCCCAGCCCTTAAAAGATTCCCCTAGAACTCTGAGGAGCAGGTGTAGCCAGGCTAACTCTAGGATAGTGAGTCCAGGGCATACTTGATATATATGTGCAATCTATGTGCCATAATTTAAGATTTGGGTTTAAAGGGACCAGTTTCAATATTGAAGGGGTTTTTAATAGTCTTTTTTTTTTTCAGCCAGAGACAAGGTTTATTAAAGGTCCGCCATATTGGCCAGACTCTTAAGGAATCTGAACAGTTGTGAGCTATTGGCTAGATTCTTTTTTATTATTATTATGGTAATTTTTATTTACTTTTTGTTTTCAACATTTACTTCCACAAGATTTTGAGTTCCAAATTTTCCCCCATCTCACCCCTTTCCCCACCCCAAGATGGCATGCATTCTGAATACCCCTTCCCCTAGTCTGCCTTCCCTTCTATCTTTCCCCCCCTTCTCTTATCCCCTTCCCCTTCAATTTTCCTGTAGGGCAGGATGGATTTCTGTACACCATTTCCTGTATTTCTTATTTCCCAGTTGCATGTGAAAACATTTTTTTTAAACATGTGTTTTTAAAACATTGGGTTCCAAATTTTCTCCCTTCCTCCTTTCCCACACACCCTCAACAATAAGGAAAGCAACTAAATGTAGGTTATATATATGCAGTTATGCAAAACACTTCCATAGTACACATGCTGTGAGAAACTAACTCTATTTCCCTTAATCCTGACCCACCCCCCCATTTATTCTATTCTTTCTTTTGACCCCGACCCTCCTCAGAAGTACTTGCTTCTGATTACCCCCTTTCCCAATCTGCCCTTCTCTCTATCATCCCCCTACTCTCTTGTCCCCTTCCCTCCCCCCATTTTCCTGTAGGGTAAGACAGATTTCCATACCCAATTGAGTGTGTATGTTATTCCCTCCTCAAGTCAAATCCTA